AAGGAGAAGAGAAGAGAGCAAGAGATTGGAGAAAACTGGTGAATTGACCCCTCCCCTCTTAGCCCCTTATATAGAGCACTCTCCTAATCTAACTAGGAGCTGGTCCAAATTAAATTTGGATAAGGACTTTATCTTTAATTAATAATCATTATCTTCTTAAGAGAATGGGTGCTCAATACCCAAATCTATACCCATTTTCGACCCAAATCACATGACAACTTAATGGTTCACATCCCAAGGTGTTGCATGGCCACTTTGGGATTGAATATTGTATGGTGTGGGATCTACAAAGGTTTCACATAAGTCCATAAGGGTTTAGTCCTACCTCTAAAAGATGTTAGACCAAATTCATTACTTAGGAGCAATGAACCCCTGACCCAATCATCTTGGACTTAGTTTGGACCCAACATTTACATATAAATGATCATTGCATTCAACTATCCTATGAAGACCTAAGGATAATGGTCTCTTACACTTAACCTCTTAATCCATAATCATAAAAACACTACCTATAGAAAATGACCCCCTTCCTAACTGCAAAATGCAATATCACACTCATTTTCTTAGATGGATCGTAGGATTAAAACCTTTTGTAAACCATTTTCATAAAATAGTAATATAACATATAAATACATTTTGCAAATCATATTTCAAATACAGTTGAAATCCACTATCGACAATTTAGGTTTCCATCAAAGTGCAAACCTTGATATTCACTTTGTCTGACAAATGGGCTGATCCTATCACCATGATCACTCACTCAAGTAATTTCCCAAACTTCCCCAACATACCTATATATTTGACTCTTGATGGATCTCACTAGTTGGCAATTGGCATATCAATGATAGTTCAGTCTAAAACCTAATGTAGTATCATAATCAAATAAGGCCACATCTATCAATAGTTCAACTTTGAGTCAAATGTGTCAATGTTTATTGCCATAACTAAAAATAAAAATTAATTAAATATAAAAACATAAAAACAAAAAATACATGAATTTTACAAAAAATAAAACATTTGGGCACATGTATAATATCATATATTTATCATATTAAACAAAAAGTTACTTTTACACACATAAAAATAAAAAATTATAGAAAAAAATGAACATATCTATAATTCTATATTTACACTACTAGTAGAAACATGAATAAGATTGTGGAACTTTCCTTTGACAAAAATGCCCATTTTTTGAATTTAATCCCTATTTAATTATGAGGTTCAAAATGTAATTTGAATTACTACTTTTCACCTTAACCTATTTATGGGCCAGGCCAGGCCAGGCTTTGCCTCCTTATCAACAGAAAATGTACAGGCCTGAGCCTGGCTCGACCATCGGGCCTAGATAGCCCGAGCTTGAGCCTGAAGCCCAACTTGTACACAAAATGTCTTATTTTTAGTGTACTTTTATAAACTAATATTATATTAATTTAGTAATAATTTAATAAATTAATAAACTAATTTGTATTTCCTAATAATAAATTAATATTTATTAATAATTTAAGAAATAAATATATATTATATATAACATAAATGATTTTTTATTATATGTAATAGTATTGGGCCAGGCTCGGGCCGAGCCGGGCTTATTTGAGAAAGCCCAAGCTCGAGCCCGAGCTTGGGAGCCTGAAGTTTTGTCCAAGCTTGGAAAATAACAGGTCAAGTCGGGCCGGGCCGTTGGGGCTACCTAGCCCATGAATAGGTCTATTTTCACCTCATTCTATTCCCTCTCTTTAAACCTTACATTTTTTTTATAAACAAACAAAAAAAAGATACATTAAGAAGATAAAGCATTATAAAAAGAAGAGCCCATCCATGCAAGTAGGCCTGTTAATGATACCTGAAACTTTGCAGCCCAATGTGAGGTGTTTACATAATAGGATTTGGTTCTGTAATTTGCATCCAATTAACAATAAAAAACAAAAAATATAAAAAGTACATGAACTTTATAGAAAACGTTGGATACATTATTACTATCATTATCATCATCTAGAATTGCCATGTGCATACTTACTAATAATCATAGACACACATAACACATATTTGCATACATGCATGTACATAAAATTATACATACACTTTATGTCAAATTTTGTCATGGGGCTAATTGATAGACCTAAGTCCAAGACTAACCCAAGTGCATCAAATTTCAATGCAGGTTGGGGGGGTTGGGCCCAAGCCGAACAGATTAGGCTTGACTTTGGTTTGAAGCCTTAGGTCCAATGCATAGGGTTGGGTCGATGGCCAAAAAAATATATAGGGTTGGGCATAAGTTAAGCTTAAATTCAGCCTGACCTACTTTACTTGCACCACAATGGTCCAATTGTTTGGGTAAGTGAGTTAACTAGTGATGCCATAATTAAATAATAAAAATTTAAAAAGTAGATTAAAACACAAAAATTAAGAATACATAAAATTTATAAAAGAAAATTAAGACATCTAAGATATTAGAAACTTATCATATCAAGCAAAAATAAGTGTGATAAACAAGAATTATTTTTAGAATTAATTATGTAAATAGAATAAAATATTTAAAGTTGCCCAAAAATGAGTTGCTTTTTATTTCAAGTCAAATAGGTTAGTACATGGTGTCATAATTATATAATAAAAATTCAAAAAAAATAGATAGAAATAAAAAACATAGAAAACACAAAAATTTGTCTATAAAATTTGTGCATATATATTTATCATATTAAACAAAAATAAATATGATAAATAAGAAGTATTTTTATTAACAATGAAAATGAAATATAAAATCTAAATACACTAGCACACCATGCTTTTATTACTAATCATTTTTAATTGGTTCTAATAAGGATATTGAAATTGTTAATGTTATTTGAAATTACCATGTGCAACATACGTGCACATTTACTAGTTATACAAAAAAAAAAAATCAAATGGTTCAAAGCAATGTTATCAGATTCAGACTCGATTGTCTGATTGCTTAGAAGTTAGAAATGTCAAATTGGCCAAACCAATCTTAAATATGTGCATTATAAATTGTTACAAATCCATAATATTTATCATATGCTCAACTATGATACCAGAAAGATATGATACCGAAAAAAAAAACTTATAACCAAGGAACCGAGATCATAAAAGTGATAACTAATCACATGGGTTTTCATCAAAATCCACGGGGATAGTGATTGGTCAAAACCTTCCTGGTATCATGTCTTTTCAACATCATAAGTTTTCCCATTTATCATTTGGATTCAACTAGGATGCCGGAAAGACATGATGCCCTAAAAAAACTTATTTCGATATCAAATAGAAGATAGTCCAGAGTTGTTTGCCATTTTATTGATTTTTTTTAAGTGTGCAAATGATCAACCAGATGGTCTAACCAATCAACCAGATATGACCCAATGTTGGAAGTGGTTTGTGTTCATTCCATGCATGTCTGACAACAATTTGTCCAATCATTCATACACAATGATGTTTGGCCTAATTAATCTCCTAGTAGGAGTCTACGAGAAGTGATGTGATCCCAATCCCATTGTAGCTTATTCGTGGTGTTGAACTCTAACCCTAACCCTAATTGGCAACATTCTAACTATAACATCTGTATACATGGGTAAAACTATGATGCTTTCAAAATACTATCATTATATTAAACCCAAAATTCTCAGCCTTTAATTTTAACATGCAATCGTTGGGTTTTGCACTAACCCAAGGATTGGATCGTGTCAAGTTGGCCGAGGTCCCAACACTGACATGATGTTCAACCCAACCCAGCCCAAGTCACACCCCCTAGATTCCAAACATTGACCCATCACCAATCCACACCAGATCTGTATAGAACACTTGTTCACTCATGAGTTGAGACATAGCCTGTTACACACAGCCTTGCCAGAAGTAGATTCCACCAATTTTTGCACTTATGAAGAGCTTTGGGAGTTCAAATCTAACGCTTCCAACACCATCCCAACAAGCCATTACAGTCGCAAATTGGAAACATCCTCCTCATGAATGGAAAGGGGGATGTTCCCAATATGCGTGATGCAGCCGCATATTGGGACAGTGTTGGGAGCATTCCGTTGGTAGCAAATCCCTACCCGAGTTTTGGAGGGCCTTTTACCAGCGTAACTTTCGCTTGGATCTGATTGTAGCGGGACCTGTGATTGAATTTGAATCCTGCCTGCCTTCACCTAAGCTTGGGAGGTTTCTGGGTTCGGGGCTGGGCTGCCCACAATCTATAGCCCATTTTAAGTTTTAGTATGTTTTAAGTACATTTCAGATAAGCTGTCCAATGTGAAATTTACATTGACAGTGGCTTTATGTTCTATCTCAATGTGAGGACCAGAACTGAAAAGCTTAGTGCTTTGTCTTTTAACAATTAAAAAATCTCTGAAGTGGCAGAAGGGAAAAGCTTATATTGCTTTTTCTTTTAATGAATTAAAAAAGAAATCTCTGAAATGGCAGAACGGAAAAGCTTATTGCTTTGTCTTTTAATGAATAACCTAATATGGCTTTTCCTGTGTAGAGGTTTCTGAAGGAATTAAAGCAGCTAGCAAACCCACCTTTGATTTTTAATTTGGTGTTGAAACCCTTCTTCTCATGGAAATTCCAAAACCCAGTCCCCATCACTGCTAGGTACAGTCTTTTGAAGGTTACTGATAGCCCTGCATTCCTCAAAATGATGATCTAAGCATTCAAAGCTCAAATAAAAATAGAAATTTTGGGATTCCAATTTGATAACCACTCTGATTTTTCCTTCATTTAGGCTTGGGCCCTCAACAACATCACCATTAATTACTTGACCCACAATGCCCTTTTCTTTGTCAGTTTCTAGCTGTATGTAATTGACTCTAGCTAACTACTTGAGATGACCTAATTAATTAACAAATTAGATTTCCAATTCCAACCCAAGCTCCTCATGACAAAACTGAAAAAGAAAAGAGTAAGGGTGACAAACCCAGCTGTGATTCTCTTCACTACTATAATTGTACCTGCTGCTTCTATATATAAATACAACATGAATACTTCTGGCTTAATTTACCTGTTTCTATTTTTCTCTTTCTGATTTTGCTTTTTCATGTTATAAAGCCATGACTCTCCCTCTCTCTCTCTCTCTCTCTCTCTCTTTCTCAGAGCATCAGCACTTCATGTATTCTCTTTGTTGGTTTTTACAGGGCTCTCAAGAAATGATGAGGTTGGTGGTGGCTTGGAACACTACTGCTGATATGTGATAATGAGGGAGAGTAATTTGTTGAGAGATCTTGCTCAAGACCGCGCAGCTGATTCATGTAACACTGCATCGTGGTAGGTGTCTATCGCTGCTCAAAAACTAGTGTGATGACAGTGAAGCCTGCCGGCCGGACGGACACCGATGACTCTTTCAACAACCGATCACTGATGGTAGCCCTCTACCTCGATGCGCTGTTCATGTGCAGGCTGGCTGTGTGGTCTTGCTCAAGATCTCACAGCAGAGAGATGGTGGACATGTTCTTTGATGTCTGTCTGTGCTGGGTATAATTACATCGATCACCCTGCATCTGTCCACGGCTTGATGCAGTGAACCAATGGAAGGAAGAACTACAAGTTGGTAAGATATTACGTTTCTGATGTGTTTACACCTGCACAACCTCGATCTTGATTGATTTAGAGTTTGAAGCTCAAGACAATCCAGCAATGTAGAGAAGCATAGTTAATAGGACTGTGTGATATCTTTATTTCTTGATTTTCAATGACTGAAAGTCTTGGTAAAGGGGAAAAAAGGTAATTAAGGCAGCCTGTTCACAAATTGGTTAAATGGGTCTTAAAGAGGGCTGCCTGAGCTGAAATCATGAAGTATGAGAGTTTGCTGAATTTTTCCTTTTTGAATTTTCTATGGAAGTAGCTTATTTTCTTTTATTTTTTTATTCACTTGTGCAATTGCTCTTTATCTCTTTATCCAAGCTGTCAGCTACAAGCCAAACCAGAGGAAAGCAATTTCAGTGGAGATGGAAAGAGAACCCATTTGTGGAGTTGTTAGTAATGTAGAGATAGTACAAATGCAGTGGCTCTATTTTGTTAGGATTATGCATGTCATTGTGTACAATGATTCATGTTAAAATATTGGATTGGCCTATTAGTCAGCCTTAATTTGTAGGGTGCAAATTATTATTGTTATTATTATTTTGTAATAGTTCTAGGGTATAAATTTAAAAGATGAAGAAATTGATAGAAGTAGAATTCATCACCTCACGGCAAATTTCAGGCTTAGTACCCTCTCCATTCAATGAAGTACATGAAATGCACTCCCACTAATGATTCAAGTAAGGTCAGAAGGAGTCAATTTACCCTATTGCTTGAGTAGAATCACTGTATATGATTTAATCTTGTTGTAAAATAATAAAGAATACAGAATAAAACTTATTGGTAATCGCTTTCTAAACCGGAACTTGCAGGAATTTGTTGTTACAGAATCTTGAAATTGGGAATTGCAGAGAGAGAGAAGGAGAACTCATCACCTCACTGCAAATTTCAGGCTTAGTACCCTCTCCATTCAATGAAGTAGATGAAATGCACTCCCATTAAGGATTCAAGTAAGGTCAAAAGGAGTCAATTTATCCTATTGCTTGAGTAGAATCACTATATATGATTTAATCTTGTTATAAATTAATAAAGAAGGCAGAATGAAACTTATTGGTAATCGCTTTCTAAATCGGAACTTGCAGGAGTTTGTTGTTGCAGAATCTGAAAATTGGGAATTGCAGAGAGAAGGAGAACTCATCACCTCACTGCAAATTTCATAGACAAGACAGAGAAGAAGACTGTCAAAAATTGATGTGTATCAACTAAGTTGACCAACATCCTTTTTATAGATTGGTCTCAGACCCGAACGGACACAAAGGTGTCCTTTCAAACAGGAGTCTCTTCAGAACAGTGCACCTGTTCAAAAAGGCACAAAGAGAAAGAGACACGAAAAAAAGAAAGAAAAAACATTTTTTTAAATAAATTCAAAATTCGAACAGACACCTGTTTGAACGTACACGCCGCACCCACCCCACCTTGCCCCTCCCTAGCTCGGATTGGCTCGACGCACGCGTGAAAAGCACCTCCATATTCTCTTTATTTTTGTTTTTGCCTTTTGTTATCTTTGCTTTGTTTTCCTCCTCCTTTGTCCATTATTTCCTTTATGTTTTAAACCATTCATCTTATTCATTTCAACCCTATTGTCAAAGACCAAGCTCTCCAATATGATACAATTTCAACCTAATGACATTAATGATTTAACCTCCATCACATTTCAGCATAATCAACAATTGAAAGCAATTTAGCATGATAGGTTCTACAATTTCAAACAAAAAATCACATGTCCATTTCAACAAGCAAACCAAGTTTCAAAGCATCATTTCCTTTCACATGATAGGTTCTAAAATTTCATGGAGACAATAATTTTAGCATGTAAATCAATCTCAAATCATCATGTCATTACATGTTGTCATAGCCGCTAACATTCAGCACTATCATGGGTTCAAAATCATCATTTCCAACATGTATTGACTTTCAAGAATAACACATTTCATCTTGGTATTTACATGTAGAAGCATCAAAGAAGCATTAAATCCCATGTTTTATTAGTGTGACATGCTTTCAAAGAAAATGTCATATTCAAATCCTATCCAAATCCATGCCAAAACCAACTCTAAATTAAGATTAAATCTTGTTGATAATCCATGAGGGTAAAAAACAAAAGAAATAAATAAGATGATCAAAAGAGTGACACACTTGCCTCTTCAGAGTCTCAAACATAAGCCATGAACACTAAGGAAAGAAATCCATGCTTGTCCAAGTAAAGACTTTGTTCCTCATGTTAAATGATCCATTGACAACCCATTGAATTAGAGTGTGTGCATATGCTACCAAAATTCCTCAAACAACTTGTGCATTCATCACATGTAGGAAAAAATTGCCCTTCCCCTTCTTGTTTTAGCATTCTCATCTCCCAAAACTTACTCTCATCTTCATACCTATTCTCTCTTTTCCACACTTGAGTTGAATTAAGGATTAGGGGATAGGGATAGGGAACATTCAATTTGTTGACAATTCCACACACTTCCCACGTACAATTTGACTTTTGTCTCTCAATAAAATATGTACTTCCATTATCCAAACATAATTGACATGAGAGCATGAAAGAGGCTTATTCTCTAAAGCAAATTTCTTACTTCAAGAGAGTAAAATGAATATGCAAAGTAAATTTTCTAATCCAAAATCATGTAGATCCAAACTTGAGAATGAAAGAGAGAGAGAATTCATTCAATTGATGCAAGAAAATTGAATGTGAAAGAAAAATAAAAAAAAACTTGTATGCCAAACATGGGACAAGAGAAACACACTTGTTATCAATAAAAGAAAACAAAAAGAATCACATGCAATAATCTAAACTTGAAACAAGAAAAACAAACTTATTTTCAATAAAAGAAGAAAAAAAATTGGGCACCCCCATGTGGGACCAACCTATAGTCCAAGAACTCCCTAGCGGAGTCGCCGATCTGTGAATGTCAGAAAACGGCTCACTTGAGCTGATTTAGAGTCGCCACCCATCATTAATGTAAATTGGGAGTTGTGGGCCTCCCGAGTTATTTATACATAAAACCAATTTGGCCCAACCAATGACTCCAAACCTAAGGTAATGGTCCAACCGATCTGAGTAGGACTTGGATGGGAGAGGGAAGGGATTAGGCACCCCTCTCCCATTTTCAATAGGTGGGGTCCACATGAAGAATCCCATAGCTAATGCATTAGGCGATGTTTGGTTCAATTTTCATTCTTTATCATTCTTACCCAAGATGAAATTCTAAAATGGAAAAGAATGGGTAAAAATAGGTAGAATGAGAAAATATTGCTATGAACCAAACACTTTTTTCCTAAAAATGAATTATTTTTAGACTAATAAGTGTCCTATGTTGCTCATTTTCTGATGGAGGGCCAGCTCAAGACCCACCGAACCAACCGGCGACAGCTCACGTCTAGAGAGACCTTATGTCATCCAACATGCATAGGATAATGGCGACAGCTCATGTCTAGAGAGGACTCCTTATGACATCCAACATGCATCGGATGATGGTGGCTATCGAACGGTGGACGTCAAAAGCATACTGAAGAAGAATTCGAAGATGTTTTAGAAGTCAAGTTCCTAGTTGTTTTAGAAGTCAAGTTCCTAGTTATTTTAGTCTACAAGTCTACCCGTATGTATTATAAATACTTCAGTTTCTGAGCTCAATGATACACACAAGAATTTCTTATCACATTTTTCTCTCTCTACTAAGGCTATGCTTAGTTCTTTCTTTTGTGAGGCTTCAAGACCGAAGCCGACTCGATCGTCCGGTGCTTGTTCACCCGGTCGAGTGCGTCACGTTGTGTCAGGTGGTATCAGAGCGGGAGTTCGCCCAATCAGATGGCCAACCAGGACAGTAGCAGTCGCAACCAACCCCATGATGGAGATCAGGGGTTACAAGCTGTTTGGAGAGCAATCGAAGAGCAACGAACAACCACTCATAACATTGAGCAACAGTTGGTAGAGATTGCTGGACAACTACGGACTTTGTTGTGGGAGGATGTCCCAAGGAATAGGGGTAACGCATTGCACCAAGCTGGGGGAGACGACCACGATAGGCCAATCATTGATCCTATACCCAGGAACCCTATTATTGATGATGATAGCGACGACGAGCTAGAATTCGGCATTGCTCCAGTTCTTCCCGGTGATGGCAGGACCGATAGGAATTATCATGGCAATTTTAATCACCGTTGGAATGATGATGAGTTTAAAACTCAAGGTGGATATCCCTACTTTTAGTGGAGATCTAGATATAGAGGGCCTTCTAGATTGAATCACCGAGGTTGACCATTTCTTCGAGTACATGGAAATCCTGGAAGAAAGAAGGGTGAAATTAGTAGCTTTTCGATTGAAGGGAATAGCATCTGTCTGGTGGGAACGAATGAGGGAGACTCGGATCAGAGAAGGAAGAGGTCCAGTTCGAACGTGGAGACCCATGAAACAATTAATAAGAGGTAGGTTTTTGCCTCCTGATTATGAGCAATATATGTTTGAGTCGTACCAACGGTGTGCACAGGGAACAAGAAGCGTGAACGAGTACACCTCAGAATTTCTGAGATTGGCTGAAAGGAACCAGTTGTCGGAAAGCGACAATCAACAGGCAGCCCGTTATTTGAGCGGTTTGAAACCTACAATCTGAGACAAGATTGGAGTCCAGATGGTTCTGAGTGTGCAGGAAGCTAGGAACTTAGCTTTGAAGGTTGAGTTAATGTTCCAAGAGAGGACCCGAGCCGATAATTATCGACGGTATAGCGGGAACGACAATAGGCCCGCAGCGGTTGACAAGGGCAAGCCAACTCAATGGGTACAACCCTCCCATCCGCCGAATGTAGCTAACATCAGTAAGGTCGCCACGGGAGGAAACACTCGAGGTAATACTTCAAACCCTCCTAAAACCATTAATCCCTATGCAAAACCTGCTCCTTTTAAGTGCTTCAAGTGCAATGAAGTTGGGCATAGGTCTAGTGACTGTCCCAGAAGAAAGGCAGTTAACATGGTGGAGAGGGATGAGGAAGAAGTTGGTGACGATGAAGTATATTGTGGACCCGATGGAGAGGACGAAGAAGGTACTTATGAGCATGAAGAGTACACGTGTGTTGTGAGGAAGCTAATGCTATCTCAAAGAAGTAAAGATGCCACACAACGACACCGGCTGTTTCGCACTAGGTGTACGGTACAAGGTCAGTTGTTTGAATTGATTATTGATAGCGCCAGTCAGGAGAATATTATTGGCAGGGATGTGGTACAGAAACTACAACTAATTTCTGAGAAACACCCGAACCCTTACACGATTGGTTGGATCAAGGAAGTCGGGGGCGTACGTGTGGAGGAACGCTGCAAGGTTCCATTCTCTATTGGTAAGTATACTGATGAGATTTATTGTGATATTGTGGATATGGATGCTTGCCATATTTTGCTTGGTAGGTCGTGGCAGTTTGATGCAGATGCCAAACACCTGGGTAGGAAGAACACATACCAACTCGAGAAAGAGGGTGTGCGCTATACACTATTACCTATGGCAGAAAAGAACCAAACCAAGGCTTCAAAGGTAGAGGAGAGGAATTTTCTTACCATAACACATCACTACTCTGAGTTTGTAAGGGAGTGTAAAGATACCCGCGAGGTCCACTTAGGAGAGAGTATGAGTGAACCACTAGGGGAGAACAGAATTCCAATGGAAGTGCAAGGATTGCTCGACGAGTTTCATGATGTAGTTCGTGACGAGTTACCCAATGAGCTTCCACCCATGCGAGACATTCAGCACCACATTGATTTTGTTCCTGGTGCTAGCCTACCTAATCTGCCACACTACAGAATGAGTCCTAAAGAGAATGAGATTTTACGGGAGAAGGTAGAGGAATTGTTGAAAAAGGGGCACATCCAAGTTAGCATGAGTCCTTGTGCGGTACCAGCATTATTAACACTGAAGAAAGATGGGAGTTGGAGGATGTGTGTTGACAGCAGAGCAATCAATAAGATCACTATTGGCTACAAGTTTTCCATTCCTAAGCTGGATGACATGCTTGATCAACTTGATGGAGCTGTGGTCTTTTCCAAGATCGATCTCAGGAGTGGTTATCATCAATATCAGAATTCGTCCCGAAGACAAATGGAAGACCGCTTTCAAGACAAGAGATGGATTGTTTGAGTGGTTAGTCATGCCTTTTGGACTAACTAACACACCAAGCACTTTCATAAGACTAATGAATTAGGTACTACGCCCTTTCATTGGTAAATTTGTTGTAGTATATTTTGATGATATCTTGATTTATAGCAAGTATGTTGATGAACACATATGACATATCCGAGGGGTATTGAGTGCGTTAAGGGGAAACAAACTATATGCTAATTTAAAGAAGTGTACTTTTATGAGCGATAGTTTATTGTTCTTGGGTTTCATTATAAGTAAGCAAAAATAGTTGAGGAGTGATCTGCATGCTAGGTGGTTTGCCTTTATTGATAAATTCCCATACAAAATTGTGTATAAGGCTGGACAACAGAACATAGTGGTCGATGCTTTGAGCAGACGTGTGGCCCTAATTAAGACTCTCAGTATCGAAATTGTGGGTTTTGAATATTTGAAAGATTTGTACGCCCAAGATGAAGACTTCAAGCAGGTTTGGGAAAAGTGCATGAATCGGCAGTCAGTGGGT